TATCTGATACCAAGTATCAGTAATGAGAAGGGAAAAAAGAATGAACTTGATCCGATCTCAGAATAAATCTATCCTGAAATAGCTCTCAATCACAGTGTGTGATGTGGTGTTGTTAGCTGTGTAATGTAGCTATGTAGTTTACGTATAACAGTTCAATGTTTTTGGTATCATAAATGAGAATTTATAATTTATTTAAACTAATTATAATCTGTCATAATCGATTTTAATGATCCAAAATTGATCAGATTGATGCATTTTTACAACTCTAGCCAATCACCCAAGTGAAGCACACAAAGCTGGAGCTGCACACATCACCCTCTCCATCTCTCCAGCTCAGAGAGCTGCTAAGAGGAGAGCTAAAGAAACCACTGCTGAAGCTTAGAACACATTAATCTCTCTCTCCCTCTCGCAAACACACACTCTTTCTCTCAGCAGTCAGCATTGTGATGAGTATACTTGGTGAGTGGAGTGTCTCTTCAATAAACGCCTGCTATTAAAGTGTCCATGATACGTCTTCACAGATTAAACTGCACATTTTCAATTTAGAGTGCTGGAGTGAAAGGGCTTTCAGCTTAAAGTGACAGTTTGGTGGAAAATCAAATTTACACAGTTTTCTCCATACCCCAAATGTAGTCGATCAGCCAAGACATGTTTAATGTCCTCAGTTTGTTTTTCTTTCTTTAGTTTTAGCATTGGAGCTACAAGGCTAATGTAGGTGAGATTGCTGTCAAATGGACATGATCATTTAAAATTCGTCAATAATTCATAATTTTTTTCTCCTCCACAACTTCAATAACATATTACTCTGAAAAACTGATTTTGCCACCTCAGTAAGCATATTTAATTTTTGTGCCAATAACACAGAGAAGTACAACCCTATCTCACCGAAGCTTTGATGGAGAGGAATGTGACGAGGTCTAATATTTCAGGCTACACTGGCTGCCAGACTCCGTGTCAGGAATGGAGAAAAACAACAAATTATGAATGTTGAATGAAAGCAAAATTTACCAGCTTGTAAACTCATCTGAAAGCTTAAATGATGTTGCTTACTCACCACTATGTCACTTAATGTGACAGTACATTATTTTATTTCCATCGCAAAATAAGTTGGTGTGACTTATGTTACAAATAATTGATTAACTTTCATTAAAAAATGTATTAAAAATTCTTGCTTATATGTTAAAATGAATGAACAAACATACATTTGAGCATGACAAAGGTTTGATGTTTTTTAGTAATGTTTGAAATGGAACTGGAGTGGCTGCCTTCACTTTAAAAAAATGAAACAACGTTGCTGTTTGACTTACAAACCGAAAAGGTGTCCAAATTTAATAAATGAACTGAATGAATGTTGTCTTCAAGTAGCTGGTTTACATAAAATGGACATAAATGAACTGAGGTACATTTAAATGAATGAAAACATCCAAACAGAATACCAATGAATCCCAAACAAAATGCACTGAAATGTTTCAATTTTGTTCGATAAACAATTTTATATTGAGGTAAAAAAAGTCTGTGATTGAATGGAAAGGTGCAGCAAGTTCATACAACAGTTCATTATTTTGAGTGTACATGGACATTTCGTACACTGTGTAAGTGATAACCCTTAAATATACTACTGTCACGCTTCCCTCCGGCCCCGCTGTCACCACTTCTCAGCCTCCAGACTCCTTATCCCAGAACGCCCTGCCAGATCACATGATCCCAGACTTCCCTCATGTGACTCCTCACCGCTCCACTTTACCTGCTTATTGATTCAGGTCACTGGTTTTACACACTACATAAACCCCCTCAGTTTGGCAGTTCATTGTCTCACAGAGCATTACCAAGCCGTCCAGTACGTTAGTTTGTCTGACTGTGTATGACCTTTGCTTTGTTTATTTTTGACCTTAGCCTAGCCCTTTGTGTATTGTATTTTTGGTTTGGACTTTCACTTCAGGTTTATGGGCTCTGTTTTTTGGATTACTCCTATGCTTACTGACTTCTCAATCTGGCTTTTGACCTTGAACTGTTTGACTTTTATTTTGTATTCCCCTTTTGCTAATAAAGCCGTTTTACTTTAATCTGGTCTGCGAGCGTCCGAGTTCTGTGTGAACCTGACAATTACAGCTTGAACAACACTTACCATCAGACTTCTATCTCTTATACACAGCTTTGAATGTTGTGGACTCATATAGCATGCTTCTCATGGAATGACTCAGCTAACAAATAATGGGAGCTTCTTTTAGCATCACACAAACACATTCAAACCGTATGAAGATGTTATCACAAATAGATTTGTTTTTTGACATAATCTTATGTATAAACATAAACAAAAGCACATTGCATAACCAAAAACAGCAGTCACAGTCATCATGAAGCCTGAGTTTTGTCTGTGCTTTTGCTTATTTTTATACTAACAGTAGCTACATTAGCACTTGCAGTGTGAAATTTAACAAAGATTTTTTCAGACTCCAAACATGTCTTGGTTGACTCAGTACATTTGGAATGTTTTGGGTAAGGGGAAAATTAAGTAAACTGGATTTTTTTCCAAACTACCCCTTTTAACCATTGAGCTTCAACACTTTAGGACCTGCTGTAACAAAGCCCTACAAAGCACAGTGGTAGCATCAGCCAACTGCACGTCAAAGCACTGCCCTTTAGACAGAGCTGACATGTCACGCAGGTACAACTCAGAAAGCTGCGTTCATACGAAGGAAAACACTTTCTGATGTTTCCACCTGGCTAGTTTTCAGTAGAGTCCCCGAGATGAAGCAGCACAAATATGGCACACCAGCAGCCACACTCTTCCTGCCAATATCTCACTCACTCATTCTCCAACACACACACACATACACACACTCCTACACTGGCTTCCCACACACACACATCCGTCCAAATGATTGACCCGCATTTCCTGCGTGTGGTACAAGCATGGAATGAAGCAGGAATCAATTAGCTTGGAACGAAGTGAGCGACTCCAAACGTGTGAGTGAAGATGCTGCACTCGATCTGCCTAACGAGCAGCCGCCTCCTTTTAATCAATCACATTTCATACTGGCTAATTAGCACTGACAGAGGCTGAGTGGACACACACACACACACACACTCACAGACAGGCTCATTTGGAAATCAACTGCAGATATGTGCATATGAAGGGTTTTGCTCCAAAATGCATCATAGACCACTTTTAACAATGTTCTTTTTTATGATAGATATATGTCATAGGGAGTGGGCATTACACAATACATATCAATCCATAATTTGGCGTCAATTTGGCGTTTTTGAGAGAAATTAAATCATGTTTTCCATTAAAAAATATATAATATGTTTTCCACTAAAGATCAGCTGTTATTCTTTTCCAAAACTCATTATATGGATTTTTGGTCCAAAGTCAGAGTTTATACACATTTCAGACTTTTAATTGACTGGACTTTAGTCTGAAATCCTTTAGCTTTGAGTGACCATATACCTTAATTACGTTTATCTTATTAAAACAAATGATTGAACATTACATTTTGTCACTACCTGAACAATAAAACACTACAATCATAATGCCTGCGAAATTTTATTAAGTGTTTCGGTAGGGATTTTTTCAGTAGAGACAATTTTAGCTAATTTTGAGCATGATTAAATACACTAGCCTGTACGTGACTATCAAACACAGCTTTGAACAGTTCACACATAAAATCATAATATTTTTCATAAATTTTTCATAAGTTTACTTAGTTTACTTCAAAACAGTGGGATCTAACTGCTCAACATGTGGCCTTGAGGGACAGGGATGCAGTCTCACTTCCTGCTCAAAAAGTCAGAGGTGTGGCTAAAATAACTCCGCCCATGAAATAAAACTCATTGTGTTTCAGTAGTGACATAAAAATATGGAACAGCATTTTCGAATAAAGTTTTTTGTTTAAAAATTGAACTCATTATAAACTGAAATCTTTTAAATCTTTCAAAACATGTAAGTATTATTTTCACAAGTTGAAATTTAGGAGTTAGGGTTTGGGACAGCTGGAACTGGAAACTCAACACTATGTAGTGAGTCCAAACAAGGATCACTACCAGATGCTCTTATACCCACCAAGACTGAATGGGTTTTGTGTCAACATTCTATATAGTTGGTCCAACCATGTAACACTTGTCATAAAAGAACGGGCTTGTTGGAAGCACTTGCATTGGTCAACTGATTTAACTTTCTGTGTTTTATGAAGCATGCTATTGGCAGTGATCTAGAAATACTAATACTTGTGATTTATTGCAGTAATGATAACATATAGTCATATCGGGTAGAGCTAACTGGAACCCACAGACGATGTGCTAAGTTTGCCCCTCCACTTGAGTGCAGCTGCCTGATAGTGCACATGGTGAACCAGAGAAGGTTACATAAGCCTTGGACTGCAGTGCAACTCCAAGTCCTTCAATGTAATCCATGGTGACAGTGTTCGCCTGTGCAGAAGAAAGGCGCAGTGTGTGTGTCACTTGTATGTGTGTGTGTGTAGTTTGTAAGAAAAGGAGAAAGTCTGTGTGTGACGACAGTTCTCAACACAGGCACGATCTGTCCTATAACACCTACTAAGAGTGTGGGTGTGCTGTGCACACACTACATTAAACTGTGCATGTGTGTGTGTGTGTGTGTGTATTTGTATGTGTGCCTGTTTGTGCCTGTGTTTCTGTGTGTTTGTGTGTGTTTCTGTGTGTGTTTGTGTGTATCTGTGTGTGTGTGTCTGTGTGGGTTTGTGTGTGTGTGTATGTGTGTGTCTGTGTGTTTTTGTCCATGTGTATGTTTGTGTGTACGTGTGTGTAAATGTCTGTATGTGTGTGTGTTTCTTATAAGTGTTTGTCCATGGCTATGTCTGTGTGTGTCTAATTGTGTGTGTGTATGTGTTTGTTTGTCCATGTGTGTTTCTGTGTGAGTGTTTATGTATGTCTGTGCATGTATGTGTGTGTGTATGTGTGTGTCTGTGTGTGTGTGTGTGTGTGTGTGTGTGTGTGTGTGTGTGTGTCTGTGTGTAACTCACCAGCTTGCGTTGACACCAACCACAGACGCCACAAAGAGCCACCAGCCAAACAGCACACACTGTTACTGCCAACGACACCAGGAACACACTCAGTGCCACCGAGCCTGTGAAACACACACACACACACACACACACACACACACACAGTGAGAGAGGGAACATTAGTAGTTAGCTGAGAACAAAATAGTCTTAAGAAAGCCTTTGTCTTTTTCTGGCAGGTCTGAAAACAGTCTTTGGAGTATGTGACTGATAGTGTTGGCACTTCAATACAGTATCAGTAGCACCACTAAGCCTGACACCATCATAAACTTTCAGCTGACAATTGCCACATAAATTATTAATTATTATATTGTCATATACATTACTATTAGTTGTCTTTTTTGTTTGTTTTATGCAACTTCTAAAGCATGATAAGTATAAAAACTTTGTTTCAACCCAATCCAACCACATGACTGTGAGAGCTAAAAACTGTAACTAACTAAATAACTGACACGGTGTGCATGTGTGCCAGTAGACAGAGCATAACTGAAGCAAGCAACATGTCGTGATGTGTGATTATTTCACACTTGAGACAAGCAGTGTTTATGTCATATTTCGAGGGGGTGGCATGACCAGGAAGGATTTCAGTAACCGTGATAAGCCATGCCAAAGAACACAGCTTTTTAATAGTCCTGATACTGTTCAAATGCTCAAATGTAAAGTTTTGCCTTTACCAAAATAAAACATTTAAAAAATGGAATGATTTAAACTTCAGGACTTTAGGCACATATTATGTTAGGTTGAAGTTAGACAGAGGTTGTATCAGTATCAGTACTCAGCATTGACTTGAGGATTAGGTTTTAGTATCAATATCAGAAGGAAAAAGTTATATCAGTGCACCCCTAGTGATTGGCCAACAGTGCCCAACGAGAGCTGGTCACAGTGGCACTCTGGTTTAAACCTGCAAACGCACAAAATTTTTGGACCGCAACACTTTCATTCTCAACTCAACCATTTTCACCATAAAAACACCCCAACACACATACACACACACTCAGAGCCAGAGCTGGAGTGATGCTATCAGATGGTCCGGGAGGCTGGTCTGGAGAGACAGGTTTGGGGTTAATTCTGGTAATGAAAGTGTGGAAACACACAAACACACACACACACACAGACATACAAAAAACAAATACACACTGATAATGTGTTTGCATATTTACTTACTGAATGGGGGGAGACAGAGAGACACAGAGAGAGAAAGAGGCAGAGAGCAAGCAAGAGAGAGAGAGAGAGAGAGAGAGAGAGACAGAGAGAGAGAGAGAGACAGAAAGAGAGAGAGAGAGGCAGAGAGAAAGAGGGAAAGAGAGAGACAGAGAGAAAGAGAGAGAGGGAGACGGTGCCTGACAAACTATGATTAATGGGTAGATCTGGAGGCTGAGGGGATGGCTGGATAGAGAGGGAGGGATGAGAGGAAAGAGTGATAAATGTGCAAGATTTATTTCTCCAGTAAACACAGGGGAAAGTATGATGCCCTCCTGTACTCGCACAAACAGTCTGTGTGTGTGTGTGTGTGTGTGTGTGTTTAATGTTTCAGACAGCAGTGTCCTGATTCTGTATGAAAACAGAGGAATACAGTGTTAAACTACAGGACCAACAAAATCAGCTGTGTTTTATTGTAGAAAACTGAAGTGAAGAGACATTCATAACTTATAATGTTAATGTGACATTTTTTTATTTTGAACCATTTCATCGTGAAATTTTAACACACTGGAGTTATACATTATGCAAAAAGGTAAAAAAAGACAAAAATGGGGATACAAGTTTGCATGACAACGTTATATGCAGACCAGCCACTCCACCACCATGACATCAGTGTCACTGCAGTGCTGAGAATGATCCACTACCCAAATAATACCTGCTCTGTGGGGGTCCTGACCATTGATAAACAGGGTAAGGGTGGGATAACAAAGTGTGTGGAGAAACAGATGGGCTATAGTCTGTAATTGTAGAACTACAAAGTGGACCTATATGATAAGGGGAGCTGATAAAATGGACAATGAATGTCGAAACAAGGTGTAGTTGATGAAGTGGGTGGTCAATGCAGCACCTGTATTTTAATATATGTGGGGCATATTGACTTTACGCTTATTACCTAGTACTGTGTAAAAGTGACCACCTTGTCATTTATTTAATTTCTAGTCAAAACAGTCACTAAGCACAAGTTATTGATTTTTTCAGTTTTAAAAAAGGAAACACCAATTTAGCAGGCAATTACACAAAAGCCTCCAACACTACAATATAATATCAACTCTAACAGTAATCGTCTTTACTTTTGTGAGCCCGTTGCCACTTTGACTCTTCCATCCTTCCAACCAATCTTAAACCCAATCAGTTACAGCTGTGTCCTCCCAAAAAAACCTGCTCCCAAAGCTGATATTATCCCCTCTTTCAAAGAGACACTAACATTCACACAAGCAGCTACACAAACTCACCTTAACCGCCTTACAGATCTCTTTCCCATCTGCATCTAAAATGACTAAAGGAGATATTTCTGAGGAGATTAGACATAAAATAATCCACTTGCATAAAAAATAGGAAACTCAAAAGAAAATAAGCAGAGAAACAGGAGTTTCCAAAACTGGAGTTTAAAAAACTACTGACACAGAGAAAATGGGACTCCTAACAACCATGCAAGAGCTGGTAGACCACCGAAACACTCACCATGAGATACACAGCACTTAAAGCTTTCATCTCTGAGAGAGAGGAGAAAATCAAGCTCCACTCTTACTTCAGATCAAAAACAATCTACAGCTGTTTTTTGTCCATCCTTCCACTGTGAGAAGACAACTGAAAGGATGAGCAGCTGTCAAGAAGCTGTTACTGAGAAAAGAAAATAGACAAAAAAGAAGAACATACATGCTAGAACACAGAAACTGAAAAGCTGAGAGGTACAATAAGGTTTTACAGACTGATGAACTTTGGACGTGTTGAAAAATATCCCTGCAGATTTCTGAAAACTTAAAAAAAACTGAAAAGCAAGTCTCCCAAAAAAGAATAGAAGCTGTAATAAGGCAAAGTGTGGAAACACTGCATACAGAACAAAAACAAAATAGATTTTATATTTAGCTGTTGAGGCTTCTGTGTAATTTTCTGGTAAAAATATTTCTGTTCTCTGCTTCTTTTCCTGACGCTGAAAATGACTTGTAATTAGCTTAGTTAATTATGTAATTATAATATGAAATATATATATATATATATATATATATATATATATATATATATATATATATATATTTAGAGAGAGAGCGATAGAGAGAAGCTGTCTTTCTGTATTTCCACAACATTGTCCTTCCTTCCTCTTCCCCTCTCCACCTCCTTCCTCTGTATCTAAATCTGGTGAGTAGCGGTAGAGGAATAGAGAATCCCCTCTGTAGACCACGCTGTACCTCCTCCCTCTACACTCATCATTATCTCGCACAACATCTCCCCTCTCCACACTCACACACTGCTCTTTTCATTCTCTCTCTCTCTCTCTCTCTCTCTCTCTCTCTTTCTCTCTTCCCCCGGGGTATGAGAGAGATGCAGGATGTTGTAGAGCGGGTGGGGTGGTGGAGTTATAATTAGACATTGAATAAGGATTTCCGATTTCTCAGAAAGAGTCTATAACTGCTCCTCTCTTTTTTCTCTTTCTCTCTCTCTTTCTCTCTCTCTCAATGCCCTGTGGGGATATCCAATGGCCTGTTGCTATAGACAAGCGTGGTATAGCCATATAACTGCTTCATTACAGCATTTCTAAGACCAGTGGGGTGTGATCACTATGAAATTTTGTGATTGATACTCATTTTAAGGAGGCAAAAAATCTGCTATTCCTGATATAATTTAATATTGTCAAAGAAACAGATGAGATCAGAGATCTCTACAGATGACCTATATGGCAAAACTTTGATGTTTCAGTATGTCTGCACATTTTTGTTGTCACTGTTGTTTAAAAAAGCTCATTGTATCCAAAAGCTCCAACCGCAGCTTTAAAAAAACTCCACATATGATTGTTTGAGTGTGGGAACTAATCCAACATGGCTCCTCACATAGAACATGGTGAGAAGTTCTGCTTTCATTTCTTCACTTTCAAAGTTCAGATATGAGGGATTTCTTCTTAAATCACAGAGCTGTTCTTAAATCAGAGCAGATCTTAAAGCACAGAGCAGATCTTAAAGCGCAGAGCTGTTCTTAAATCGCAGAGCTGTTCTTAAATCACAGAGCAGATCTTAAATCACAGAGCAGATCTTAAAGCACAGAGCAGATCTTAAAGCGCAGAGCTGTTCTTAAATCGCAGAGCTGTTCTTAAATCACAGAGCAGATCTTAAAGCACAGAGCAGATCTTAAATCGCAGAGCTGTTCTTAAATCACAGAGCTGTTCTTAAATCACAGAGCAGATCTTAAAGCACAGAGCAGATCTTAAAGCGCAGAGCTGTTCTTAAATCGCAGAGCTGTTCTTAAATCACAGAGCTGTTCTTAAATCACAGAGCTGTTCTTAAATCACAGATCGGATCTGAAAGCACAGAGCTGTTCTTAAATCACATTTGATCTTAAATCAGAGCAGATCTTGAAGTGCAGAGCTGTTCTTAAATCACAGAGCAGATCTTAAATCACAGAGCAGATCTTAAAGCGCAGAGCTGTTTTTAAATCACAGAGCTGATCTTAAATCACAGAGCAGATCTTAAAGCGCAGAGCTGTTTTTAAATCACAGAGCTGATCTTAAATCACAGAGCAGATCTTAAAGCGCAGAGCTGTTTTTAAATCGCAGAGCTGTTCTTAATTCACAAAGCTGTTCTTAAATCGCAGAGCTCTTCTTAAATGGCAGAGCTGTTCTTAATTCACAGAGCTGTTCTTATATCACAGAGCTGTTCTTAAATCACAGAGCTGTTCTTACATTGCAGAGCTGTTCTTAAATCACAGAGCTGTTTTTAAATAGCAGAACTCTTCTTAAATGGCAGAGCTGTTCTTAATTCACAGAGCTGTTCTTAAATCGCAGAGCTCTTCTTAAATGGCAGAGCTGTTCTTAATTCACAGAGCTGTTCTTATATCACAGAGCTGTTCTTAAATCACAGAGCTGTTCTTACATTGC